GACATAAATGCAAATAACTAATCGATGAAATCGTTTCTTCTTCCCGTCAGAATCATTTTATCTTTGTTTCTTTCTCTATTGAAAATATTTTATTGGATTTCTTCGATCTCGACTCGTTTCTCCAACTCTCTATTCTACGTCATTTCCTACCTTTTTTAAACGTGATTATTATAAAATAATTTTAAGTTTAAAAAATATTATTAAAATATTATACAAATTTTATAAAGTATTTGTATGTAATATATGAATTTATAAAATTTAATCAAATATATTCGTGGGGTTTAGATATCCGCAAGTACCCGAAAAGTATCTCGAGTTTAAAAATACAAAACTCGTCAGATTCAAGTTTAGAAATTTTGAAAATTCTAATATCCGACCCGCCCTCATTCTTATTTATATGGGATTGCTTCCACCTTTATATTTGATAAATTTTTTTCGATTTGTTATCTCTAAGCTTCTTTTCCCAACTTTCAGACTTACACACTACTAATACAAAATGAACGATGAAAGAGAACAAATGAACAATTTTAGTTACGCAGGATTCTACACATTTATATTCCATATTTTGTTATATTTATTTCATAAATGTATAAATATATTATGCTTCTCTGTACTGCCAAGATTAGTTGGATTATTGGATCTGTTATAATATCGGCTAATCTGCTGAAATAAGATAAAGTATTTAGTAGAGATAAAGAGTGGTGAAAGCTACTTTTTAGCTTTTGATTTGTAGAAACATTGACTTTGAATACCGATGAAAATGTAATTTGAAAATTGGTTAATCTATTTTAAAGCTAGTATAAGCAACTCTTTAAATAATCCATTCCGCAATACAAAAAGAGTAAACTCATCACCTAGAAAACCGAATTCACCATTGAAACAAAAAATTCTAGATTTATGACAAAAGAAAATTGGGAAAAAGGGTTGCTTTACCTAGACCGTGAGAATGTTTGGGTTCGTTCGCTTTCACGGCAATGTCGTTCAAATTGATTTCTTGGTTGACGAGAATAACTGCTGTTCGTAAACTTCTGATTGTCTATTCTCGCCATTTTGGGGTTGTGAGAGAAGAGAAAATCTATAGTCATTATATGGTACAATTTAAACTATATTAATTATTCTAAATAAAGAGTTTTAAATACATTTTGACCTTGAGAATCGGAAGAATTAAAAACAAATATAGACACGTGTCAACCCTTCCTCCTCCTTAATATATAAAGATATATATATAAGAATCAAGTAACAAGACATGTTCAGTTTCATCACAACTCCTCTTGTAAAGTCTCTCGTCCAATTAGCCCCAAATAAAAAAAAAAAAGAAAAAAAAAACACAACCCCTCTAGTCTAGTTACAGTTAAACACCATACCAGACGAGACGAGACGAGACGAGACGGGCCCCCTCAGATTTGGCCGTAACAAAGAGCGACTGACTTCAAGAGGACGGTCTCGGGAGATTATGATTTCACCGGAACCTTCTGCATTAAACATACACTGGCGTTGTAATCAATTAAAAAAGCCAGTAAGGGGAGGAAAATATGTGATGCAATTCGGAACAGAACAAGACAAAGCAATTTGAACTCAGATTTTGTTTCTGTTTTTTTTTTTTACCATACTCTTCGACAGCCACCACTCGCGAGCATGACGCATACGCGATTCCCTCGAGACCATGGATGGGATATACAGAAGAAGAAAAAAAAAATCAAAAAGGGGAGAACTGGACATTTGATCAACAGGGAAGAATTAGCAACGATAATCTAAGAAAAGTTTTATGGGGAAAAAATGTTGTCAGTGATTTGCCTCCCTTATTCAGACACCTACTCTCCCGTCTTTTTTGGATGTTTGGGAGTGAAAGTTAAGATCCCGATGGCAATGAGAACTAAAATCCGGTAACTGCTAGAATATATCGTATGAATGCAATGCAACTGAATCAGATTAGGGATTGAAACTTACACTATAAGACGGAGTATCTGCCAGGCTGTGATCCGCCGGGAAGTGACAAGGCCTGATTGGTAATGTCTTCAAGTACGCGTTTCAGTTCAACCTTGGCTGTCTTGACGGATTTTTCTGTAGGCCCTTCAATGAACAGGTAGAGCTTGCGATCCCCTGGTCCTGGGATACGCCCTGGCGGGAAGTATTGACCTCTCGTAGTGATGGCGGCTCCAGTCCACTCCGATATTGGACCCAGAGTTTCTTTGTGGGTAACCTTCCACCGAGCATTTTGAGGGAAATCGTTGATTTCCAATTCCGCTTCGTAATGTTCGGGCATGGCATCAGCTTGGATCTTGGCTAGGTTATGTTGCAGGTTAATGGCAGCTGCGATTGCTGCAGCACGGGCTGCTCCATCACTCGGAATGGCTGGAATCGCAGTCCCGGGAATGGACACACCAGGAACCGGAAGGACACCGGGCAGAGCAGCAAGCCCGACCCCGTTTGGCAGCAATTGGCCAGCGGTCACAGGAGCGGTAACTTTAGCGGCAGCTAGGGCGGCTATCTGAGCAAGAGTAGCTGTCTGCTGTGAGATATTATCACCACCCGCCTTTCGTACAACGTCATCCTCGTCTTCTGAATCGGATTTATCTTCCTCGAAACCATACTCCTTTGCTTGTGCTTTCTTTGCTGCTTTCCTAACTTCTTCCTCCTCTTCGTTGAATTTAAATCCACTACCACCATAGCCTGTTCCATGGGCTTGCTCGAGACCCTGTTTCACTTTCGCCATGAAACTATCAGCCAGTGCCTTCAGATCATCTGGAACAGGCTGCTCAGACAGTTCCAGAGCCTTGACGAGATCCGGAGCATATCTTGCATCATCCTCAGAGATAAATGTGACAGCACAACCTTTTCGTCCTGCCCTGCCTGTCCTGCCAACACGGTGGACGTAGTCTTCGTAGTGGTTTGGAGCATCAAAGTTTACAACCAACTCCAGCTCTTTCACATCTAGACCCCTGGCTGCAACACTTGTTGCAATCAACAAATTGCAGACATTGCTCTTAAAATCAGATATTGTGGATTCACGATCAGTCTGATCCTTAGCCCCGTGGAGAGAGAGACACGGATAACCATGTTTAAGCAAATCCTTAAACAAGGCATCACATTTTTCCTGTGAGTGAACAAAAATCAAGATTTTTCCTTTCTCATACCATTCCCCAAGAAGTTCTAAAAGCCTCCAAAACCTTTCACTCTCAGGCCTCACTTCCACTAATTGAGCTATGTCCTTGTTCACGACACTCCTTCCACCAACCTGTATTTCTACAGGTTTGTTCAACACTTTACGGGCCAGAACTTCAACTTGACGTGGAAAAGTGGCAGAAAACAGCACAGTTTGCCTATCCGGTTGAATGTTTTGAATGATCCGAGTTATCTGAGGCTCAAATCCCATATCAAACATACGATCAGCTTCATCCATAACCAAGTAGGTGACTCTCCGCAGATTGGTGATCTTCCCACCGCTTGTGCAAAGAATATCAATCATCCTGCCAGGAGTACATACCACAATCTCAGTCCCTCGCTTAAGTTCACTGATTTGCTGGGCAACCCCAGATCCTCCATATACAGGCACGCATCTTATACCCATTACCTTGGTAAACTTCTTGATATCACTGTGAATCTGCTGGACAAGTTCCCTGGTAGGTGCCATCACGAGCCCGATCGGCCCATCCCCTGCAACCACAGGAGGCTGATCTTTGATATGCCTGATCATTGGCAATACGAAAGCCAGGGTTTTTCCTGACCCAGTTTTTGCAATCCCAATGCAGTCTCGGCCGCTCATTATAACCGGAAGTGCCTGTGTCTGGATAGGCATAGGCTTTTCAAAATTAAACTTCTTTATGGTATCCAGGATTTTACTGGTAAGCCCAGTCTGGTGCCAGAACTTCACAGGTCGTGGCACATCCTTCCCATGTACCTTTAACTCCAATTCCTTCCTGTAAGCGTTAACTTCTTCTTGGGTCATCCTAGATATCTCCTTCACTTCGGTATAAAAGTTTTTCCGGAAAGGTTCGTAGTCAATCTTTGAATGGTCAACGAGGGATAGTTTCTCTGCTTTTGTCTTCTTTACCCTCTTCATGAAATCCTCATCGTCTTCATCTAAAGCCGGATCCTCCTCCTCATTCTCAGGTTCTCCGTAATCAGAATCAGAATCTTCCCCTTGGATAATCCTACCAAGTGCCTTATTAGAACCTTTCTTCGATTGTTCACCATTTGGATTGCCATTTCTCTTAGTGTCCGCATTACCATCTTCAATTATTGGGAGAGGGGCAGTATTGCTAAGCTTCTTAACCTCAGGGAGTACCATAGAATTCATAAAAGCATCTAAAGGATCAATTTCCTCTTCAGCATCTGATCCATCACCTCCACCTTGAGAGGCAGCAGCTGTTCCATTCTCAGAGTCCACCAACATGGCATCTCCAACATCTCCAGGTTTGGTGTCTCCATCAATGTCCATTTCTGTTTCGGGTTTTTCCTCTGTAGGAGCTTCTTCATCGTCAGATTCTCCTTCAAGAGTCCATGCCTTACCGGCCTGGGGTGCATTATCATTCCCGTCACCTTGCTTTTCTCTCTCAGATTCCTCCGTTTTCCTCCTCAACTCTTGCCACTCTTGTACTCTTCTCCTCCGTTTTTCCATCTCCTCATCCAATTTCTTCTGCTCATCCTCCAATTCTTCTTCTCTTGTTTTCTCTTCTTTCTTTTCAGTATCATCC